AGGGGGGCGGCAGGGGGGAGGGGAAGAGCGATAGAGAAAAAGAGATCCTCGCGTGCGCGGCGAGTCGCATGATACGTACCGACATGGATTCTCGAGCACGGTACCGCAGAATGGGGAGGGGAGGGGGGGGTTTCGCTCGCGCATGATTTGAAAAGTTGATGGAAACGGCTCGGAAGATGTAAAAGCCGCGGCGGCACGGCCTCCTCTCCACAAAAGGCCTCGCTATCCATCTACTCGCGCGCTCGCGCTCTAAAGCCGACGGTACAGCGCTCTCTCTCTCTCTCTCTCTCTCTCTCCCTCTCTCACTCTCTCTCCTCCCCTTTTGCTCTCGCTTCTCCCTTCCCTCGCTCTCCTCTCTTGCCGAGTTGCTGCGGCACTCGCAGCCGCACGCCGCTTTGTTTTTCCGCTTTCCAACGTTATCGCGCCCTCTATGTTCCCGCTCGGCGATGCCGCCGCCGCCGCCGCCGTCGCCGCGAAAAAATAACAAGAACGAGAATATCCGACCCGCAGTCAGACTGCGAGACAACGGGGAGAGATTCCGGGACATTATCATATATATATCATGTTCTTATTGCATATCACGGTGCACTCTGCAAACGTATCATTATTCTGAAATCGAAATACTTTTACTTCTGCGAAGTAAAAATAACAGGGTTGATGACTCAGTTAGAGCGAGTGCTTTGCCGTTTGCTCGATCGAGTATTGCACAGTGTCTGAAAAATTTTCGAAAGTTTAGACAATCTTTTTTTGTAAGTTTAAAAAAGAATACTTTGAATTTGAAAAACATTGACAACTTTCTCTGAGGAATGGTCTGGAGAAACGATTGAATGAATGTAATTTTATTAATTTATATATACCTGTTAAGTATATACTTTACTGACCGTGCTTTCATTTGCCCATTTAATTTCTTCGTTAATTTTGAATATCGAGAATCTTTGGACTGTTATTATTTTTGTTTTCAAAAGTTCTCATGGAACGCGAGTTCGTTTCATTTTACGTTTTCTGATTTTCTGATTTCGCAAATTCGTTTACATATTTCTGATTTTGTTTCAGGTATTCCTGTGTTGTTTTCGTGCGTACGCCATTGTGGTGCAATTCTTTTGCATAATGAAAGGAAAAGATAAGCTACCGGCCGTATCACTTTTGTTGCCGGAAAAGAGTGCTATATTAAAGAAAAAGAAAAGAAAAACAAATAAAAAATGATATACTATTGAATTTATTTCGCACGTTTTTTATGTATGACTGTAGTGCGTGTTAGTCTAAACTTTTGGAACTTAAAGTGAGATAGACGTACATTGATATTTGGCGAAAGCGAAAAAGAGAAGAAACAAATCTGGCAGAAAAAAGCGTCGCTCTGTCTCGCAAAACGAGATATTAATCATTAAAGTTGACCTTTTAGGAAATTCACTCTTCAAGTCGGACTGGCGCAACTATCACTCTTCAAAATTTCACTCCCCAAAAAATAGCGCAGTTAAAAAACAAACTTATTATTAGCCATCAAGTTGTTATTAGACATCTTGACAATATAATAACCCCTATTTCATTTATATTCATGTAACAGTCTAGATTTACTGTTAATCATTTCTTAATTAGAATCCGAACGTACTCGTTAATGTTAAAATCATCGATGTACCATTGATGGCCAATATCAACGACAATTGATAGCACAAAATTAGAGGAAAATCAGGGAAGAGAGTAAGGCACACACACGCACACACGCCTATATCTTAGAAAGAACCGGTAAAACTGGAGCCGCCTGATGCGCACGCCTAGCGTTTACTTCAGAATTGTCTGGCGAAAAAGGTGAGATCGCGGGCTATTTGCTCCTGCAAGACCGTTCAATCTTGATTGTTTTATCGTTAAGATCAGGCGCATTAGAAATGGTCGGTGGAACAGCTTCCTATCCTCGAACAGCCAGCTGCATCGATACACCGAGACCATGTTGGCTCTACCGTCACCGTCACCGTCACCAATGTGTAGCTGTTGCTAGGTACCACGATATCTGATTGCACGCGGGAATATCGGTCCCTCCGGCCGATCCCGGTACGGCCCTGTATCGACCTGCGCCGAGTATCGGTGGATTGGAGTATCCGCGGATTTTAAACGCTTTTCTCCCGATATCGACGTTCCGCGACCGTTCGCAGCTGCAGTTCGAAGCGGCAGTGATTTAAGTATCTGAAGTTCACCGCTCTATGGCCGTTCTTCGTTTTTAGCTATGCGCGTTTATTTCCTACGTCGGAGAAGTCCCGTTTTAGCGAGGGAGATATTTCAACTGCGCGCCGACATGGAGTTTTCTGTAGTTCGAAGAACGTATCCCGACGACGTTTTTCGTAGTGCTCGGTATTTTTACGATGGATCTGGGTTTCGGGTTTCCCCGCGTACAATTTTCGTTCGACGAAAATCGTTTATATCACGAACTGGGGAACTCTTTTTCTAGATTCTAAAAAAAATTCGAAAAAGTTCCGTTTTCTCCATATATATATATATATAAATTTTCCGCTCTTAGTATATTCGGAACAAGACGGAAATCTAATCTCGGGTCTACCGCAATGGATTACGCTCGTTCTACCTGCGATTCGACCGATAATCGTATCCATCGCCGTATAAGACGAGTCGAGTTTCAAAAATTCCCGAGGAAGAGGAGGGGGGAGGGGGGGGGAAGAAAAATCGCAACGTCCTTTTCGAGGTGTCGGTTGCACAGGTGTCGGCGACTGCGTGACGATAGCCGCGCGCGATTTTGCGGCGCGATCAATCACCGCCTCTCGCTCTCGCCGCGTCGCTCGCTCGCTCGCTCGCTCGTTCGTCCGTTCGTTCGCAGTAGCTTCCTGGCAGCAGCCGGCTGCAGCTGCTACCGCGGATGCTGTCGCCGCCACCGCCGCCGCCACCGCCGCCGCCGCCGCCGCTACCGTTGCCGCTGCCACTACTAGTAGATGGTGCGATATCGGACGTACGGCGTGCATGCATGTGGGAGTATGTCATTACCGTGACGCCTAGGCAGCGCGACGTGGCGCATTGTGTTTGAGTCCGAGGCGGCGGCGGCGGCGGCGGCAACGGCGATGGAGAAAGAAGAAACGAGCGGTAGAGGCGGCAGCGGCGGCGGCGGCAGCGACGGCGGAGGGTAATGTTGAAGGAGGGATATCGACGGCGTGGCAAGGGGCAGGACGGGACGATGCGAGGGAACGGCGACGAGGGCATGCTGCGCGTGCGCGCGAGCGTGTGTGCGTGCGCCTCATTAACCAGACGTTCGCGTTCGGCATTCTGGCGAGAGAGAAGGAAGAGGAGTTGGAAATTGCTGAAGAGGAGGTGGTAACGGGGCAAGGGAAGAGAGGACGAAGAGAAGAACGAGGAGGAGGCGTTGTAGGCCAGGCAGGGTCGAGCACGAGGCCCGAGCCGGGCCAAGCCGAACCGGGCAGCAGCCCGTTGTTTCAGAAGCCAAGTCCTGAATTTTGCATTTTACACGTCTTCGTCCCTCGTTTTTTTTTTCCTCTCTTTCTCTTGCCAATCGTCTCTAATAGTTAGGTAGTTGCGTTCTCTTTGTCTCTCTCTCTCTCTCTCTCTCTCGCTCTCTCTTTCCTTTTTACAATTCCTTTTCCCAAATCTCTTTATATCACCACGCCCGACACTTCTCCCAGTTTAGCTTTCACGTATCGGCGAATCGACGACATACCAGCTGGCTGATCGTGGATGGACCGCTAAAAGCCCAGAGCCACCGAATGGTCCTACAAACGGGAGGATGATTATACCTGGTGGTGTACCACCCGAGAATCACGTACACCCGTTCATCCGAATCGATCGTTTGGAAAGCGTTCGGACCGATCGGTCTCAGCACGGGTTCGAATTTCAAAGAGAGAGAGAGAGACTCTCGTTGCCACCGACCGCAGATCCAGCGGCGTTTTACAATTGCGAAATCGAGAGAGGTATACGGGTACTCGAATGTATTTATAGAAGTTCGTTCCGGGGTGCAACGGAATACGGGGTGCAAAGGTACATCGGTTCTACTTTGCTAAACTTGGCCAACTTGGTCGAACACGAAAATATTAATTATGATTTGAGATTAAGATTAATTATGCTCCCACTCCAGTCCTCGGATTTCAGAATCCTTCGATAATCGTTATCTGGCTCTAGTCGGAAAGTGTTTTCAGCATTGCCGGCGTCTCTGCGATTCAACTCTGACGCAGTCCTGATCATTGTGGGAAACCGATAAAAGCGAGCAGAGGAAAAGTATTCATTTTTAATACTCGTATATCGTGTCTCATAGCTGACGATTAAGAGCCATTTTTCTGCCAACGTGAATTAACTTCAATCTGGAATTCATTACTCTTTATCTTCTTCTAATTCTTAGAACTAGAACGTGACAAAAAGTAAGTTAATCCGAGAGATTCAAGTTGATCTAACATTGATAGAGGCATCGACGAAATAATCGGAATCTCGATCTACGGAGGAACGAACGACACGGGAAGACTCGGGATTACCGAATCCCAACTCCGGGGATTCGCCGGATTCCCAAAATAATCCTTTAAATGCAACGGCCTAACATCATTCACGGATCGGCGCGTCCCACGCTCGTGTTGAGAAACGGCCACAAGCCGTTGGTTTCCACCAAGGTGGATCGCGCGCTATATAACCTTTTACATCCGCTCCGGTTCGACGCCGAGAGTGTACACACTCTAGAGCTCACGCAACTCGCACATATACCCGCTTTGTTTCTTCCTCACACCACGCGCCACCGAGGCTCCTATTCTCGCCGAGCACGCTCGCTCGCACGCGATATTTCTCGGTCGCACTTAATTTTTCCTTCTCTTTCCCGCTAGCTTTTTGCTCGAAGCCGGGCTCCCGCGGCTACCGTGAGGGTTTTACGACCCGCTGCGGCGGCGGAAGTTGGGAATTTCGCACCGTTAAAGTAGACACGACGGAACGTGCGCGAGGTGGAGAACAGGCGGGAAGCCGTCGTCGAGGGACGAAAGCCGGCGGGTGCGACCGCGGAAAAGTTAAGAAGATAAGAGCGAAGAGGCGACGGCAGAAAGGCTTTCGCACCCCCGCCGCCCTCTTCTCCTCCCCTCCTCGTGTCGTCTAGTCTCGCGATAGCGCGGGGTTAATTCGGCCGAGAGAGGCGGGGATGGGAGGCGGGGGGAAGTGGAGACGTTGAGTTGTCTTCGTTGAGGGTGAAGGACGACAGCGGCGCGATTCGCACCTAGGGTGTTTCAGCAACAGGAACGGAGCGGAGCTCCGGAGAAGGCGGGTGAGGTAAAACGAGGGCGGAAGAACGTGGGACGACGCGTTTAGCGCCGAGGGGATGAATCCAATTACACGCAAACCTCCGCGTCTACGACCTATTACGTCTCTCGCTGTCTCTGCCTTGTAAGCCGGCTAGCGCGTGTGTGAGAGGGGTATTTCCTTCTTCCCGTTTTTTTCCTTCTTCCCGCGCGTTTCGCTACATGTTCCTATGCTACTGTCCGCTATGTCGCTGCCGTTGCGCTGCCTCGGACTGCGGATAGCAGTGGATAACCGCCGGTACAGCACCGGCTGCTCTTCCCGGACACGCAGCCGGTCGCTCCGCTCCGTGCATATGCTTCCCCGCTTCTTCCTCTCGTCTCTTTCTCTTTTTCTCTTCCGTACTCTCTTTCCATTTCGCTTCCGCCGCTCTTTATCCCAACCGTCGCAGTCGCCGCCGCCGCCGCCGCCGTCGTCGTCGTTACCGCCACCGACGATTCCGCGCTCTAACTCGTTTATACGCGGGCGGATTTGCGGCGCGCCCGTTTTACCCAAGTACGCTTTCGCTCCGCAAACGTTTTGCGATTCCTCATCGCGTCGGCCACTTGTCCCTCTCTTGCTCTTTTTTGCCGTTTTCCTTTTCTACCCTTCTCTCTCTTTTCCTCCCTCCCTCTCTCTCCCTCTCTCTCTCTCTCTCTCACTCTCTCTCCTACATGCGCACAGAAACACGTATACGCTCTTTCTCTCGCTCTCTCTCACTGCTTTCCTCTCTTTACCTGCCTGCCCGCCTGCGTTTAACCGGCGCTCGTATTTTAGCGTTCCTCCGTCTACCCTCTTTCCTCCCTCATCGTTCCCTTCCTCCCTCACACCACGTCGGCGAAGCAACAAATTCCGCGACCCTCCAATTACCCCCGGGGTCGGGAGTTTCGGCCAGCCGTTTTTAGATTTAAATGTCCGTGTTCCGACTTCTTTCACGGCGCCACGAACCACCGCCGCCGCCGCCGCCGCCGCCGCCGCCGCCACCACCACCACCACCATCACCGCCACCGCCACCGCCACCGCCACCGTGGGACGCTGCCTGGAAATCGATGGTCCCGTCGCCCTACGTGGAACTCGTTCGCGCGAACTCGCTGGTGGTGGATCGAATGGAACGGAAGCGCCACCAGTGAATAACGACAAGAGACCGGTTGTAGAAATCGCTTCCCGAGATCCGGCATGAATATCACTGCACTTAATTGCTAATTTCTTTCGCTTATTAATTCGTTAACGATGAAACGAAATCTCATCTATCAGCACAAGCTTTGAAATATATATGATAGGCACAACCAGCGTATGCAATATATATACATATATTCATCAGTA